ATCTCTGCCTGAGTTATCTAAACTGGCTGCCTGTACTATCCCATAAATCTACGGAGTGATCAAATTGCACAACCTTCCTCCTCTTTGTTTGGCTAGATAAACATCTTAGAAGAAATAATTCACTTTGCTAATTGAGAGTAGTCATCTGAAATGTTAGAAGCCGCCAGCTGAGGCAGTGCACCCTGGCGAAAGCTCCTGTCTGAGATCTGGGGGTCTGGGTTCTGTCTGCCCTCATTTTGCAAGTTTACAGCACTGACGTGAATTAGTAGTGTCTAAAGGAGCTCAAAGCAATAACTTTCACGAGAGCTTCTTCTCCCCACCATATTTGGGCTGCTCCATGGTTGCATCTTTCTGACGCTATCACCAGCTCATCTTCCTTGTTCATAGCGACACCCCTGCTATGAATCTCTCTCCGTGTTTCCTGCAGCTGTCATCATCACCTTCTTCATTTGTCTCAGATGCCATAGGAGCATAGTAGCCACTGCTCTGTTCCTTTCCGACCCCATTTCCCCACCCTGAAGTGACCTTGACTCCACAACCGGGGCCAGAGTCTGGTTCTCGTCATGTGGCCCATGTTTCAGCCACTGTAAGTTGTCATTGCTGTCAGAGTCTCCGCCATATTTGCCAGTTACATAAGAGGCCACATAATGTCTGCTCCCTAGCGCAAGCTTTTATTAAACAGAGACAGCCCGAGAGGCCAAGTGGGCAATAGGTCCATCCCGGAACCACGTCCCCTGGGAGGGTGAGTGGCTGTCTCCGGGTCTTGGCTCCTGGAGCCACTCAGCTCAGCTCTCTGCCTGTGTTTGTAGCCTTAAATACCCGAGGACGACATGTTATGTTTTCGGCCTGAAGAGGCAAAAGAGAAGCAGCCCTTTCAAAATAAGAATTTCCCTGCTGTTTGTTTCATTTTGGAACACAATAAGGACAGGCTGAGGACACGACTCTGAGCTGTCAACACTTCCGACCCGGCTTCCACAGCACCTTTCGCTTGCCAGAAAAAAAAGTTGCTTAAGTGAAACAAGGGCCTAATGAATAGTCAAAATAATTGTTTAGCTTGGATATAAGGCCTTAGGTAAATAGATGATCGCCTGAGACCAGAGGCCAGAAAAAGCAGTTCAGCAGGACGCTACTTGTTCTGTTTTTCGGACATCAGCCCAGTGGCCTCTGCTCCTCCAGGGACGGTTGTTACTGAATTATTTCTCTCTTCCCACGAGCATATTGAAGCAATTTAGTATCAGAAGGGGCTAATAACAGCAGGGAGAATGAGAGAGAACTTTCTATATTGGAAATATATCCTTAAAACATGGATATTACCTTATTCTCAAATAAATTGAATGCTCAGGATGTGGACTGTTTGGTTTGTTTGTATTTACCTTTCCGTGTTGAAATTTTCTAAAATGCTTTGTTAGCCCACTTACAATTGTCCTCCCTCCTGCCTTACTCGTACTTTTAACATGATTTCATCCTTTTTAAGCACTATTATTTACTACCCCTAAAAACCATCATTAGGTTTATGAGTAATCCACTTCCAAAACTATAATTGTAGTTATAGACAGAAGAAGCATTGAAAAGGAAGCTTTCAGGTATGGGTTTTGTAGTTTGTTGTTGTTGCTGTTGATTTGTTTTGTTCTGTTTGTTTATTTAAGTGTCTTTGCTATCAACTTTCTTCACTGTTTCCTTTTCCCCAAAATGGCATTACATCATGAAAATTCTATTTAATTAAGAGCTTGATTAAATTAGTTGCTAGGTAATTTCAGTTCTACTGAATAATATTTTTAATAATTGCTTTCCATCTCTGACTTGAAAATAATAGATGCCTTGTTGATCCAGAACAGGATTTGGTTGTCTTACTCGTTCGGCTCATTTCCGCTGGACTGCTATTCAAATAAACAACATCTATCTGATTGAATCTTGAACTCATCAAGGGGGTGGATTCTCCTCGTACTCAAGTTTCAGGAGTCATGATGAATATATATTTGGTTTATTGGCAAATAGCAATCAAAGCATACATTGGGCCATAAAAAAGTGAATGCTTAGCTTGTTTCTATGATTTTTTATCCTGATGATATAGGATAAAGGCTAAGAACATGGGGTTTAAGAGCCAATTTCAAAATTGAATACAAACTCCACCCTTAATAATTCTGTGAGCTTGGACAAATTATCAAATTTCCACTGGTTTCAGTTTCCTCATCTGTAAAATGGTCTAATAATAACACCTACTTCGCTGGGTTGTTGGGTAGATGATATTCAATAATACATGTAAAATGCTTAGTACCGTGTAAGGTTTCAAGAAATTCTAACCCTCATGCTATTTTCATGCACCTTATAATTTCCTCACAACAACCCTGTGAGGGAGGCGAAGCTGCTGTAATTATGCCAATTAATTTAAATATTAGAAAACTGGACCTCAAAGTGTTTATTGAGTTGCCCACAGTCACCCAAGATGGTGAAATATTGATCCTGTCAGTAACCGGAATCTCTGAATTACTCACATATTGCCTTCCCTTTACCCAGCTTGCCTTGTGATGCTGTCTCCTCCATGTTTCCCTAAACCTAAAGCCCTGAATGATAATGGGCGTCCTCTGCCTTAGACTGTCAGATGGACAAAAGGAATAAATTTTGACAGAGGCTTTAAAACCTCTATTGATATTATACAGAAGTTTTCTGCGAAAATGGTACCCTCTGAACTACACAGTCAGGAGGGATGCTTTGCTAATCCTGAGAAAAAAAAGTACTAGTGGACAAGTGATTTCCAATTGGTGAGCCTGAAACCCCCTAGAGAAGCCCACAGGGATGACACAACGGGTCAACAAACCTAAAGCCTAGCCAGCTTCATAGACTGAATGAATACAGGCTTATCCATGCATAAGTTTTGAAGCATATGTCTATCTGATTATCATTTAGAAAATATAAATCATTTAGGCACTGCTGAATTTATTATATCATTTTGGCATGCTGTATTTTCCCAATGGCTGCTAAATTTCACCTATCATGTGAGGGTCTGTGATTTTTTTTTAAACCATTATGTACAGACTCCTTAAGATTAGAAACCAATGTTATTGAGGAGAGAGCTCTGCCTATGAAGTTTAATAACCTAGATTTAAGGACCAGCCCTGCTAGTTATAAGTTAAAACACCATAAACTCAGCCAGTCAGTTAAAGTCCATAGATATCTACTGAGTGCCTCTAAAGGGCCCGCCCACACCCTGAGCTGGAGCTGGGTAGGTGAACAGCAGGCCTGAACTTTCTTCCTGAGCCTCCATTTTCTCACCTATAAAGTAAGTAGAATAATAGTGGCTCTCCTCACAAGGCTATTGTGAGCATCCAATGAGATAAACAAGAAAATAAATACACTGTGATGTTTGTGAAAGTGCTTTGTGAACTCTTTAGAGTGCTGTAAACATGGAGTGTTCAAGACAAGCTGCTGAAGACAAGAAAACCGTTCAACTCTCCCTAGTGGATTTCCTATAACTGCTGGCCATCTAACCCCATGAACTTGCCAAATGCTAACAGCATTCCTTTCTTTGATCTCAGATGATATTCATATTTATAAAAATGCTTTTCCATCTCTTTCTTCCTCCTCCCCTTCTATTCCATAAATTGTAACATTCCTTAATATCAATATGGCACTGTAATATCAGATTATACAAAGCATTAAATAAGGCACCAATATAAAATTCAAAGTACAGAATAACCCAGAGGCTCACAGCTTGCAGTTTGTAAACCCAAACATACACAACGCCCATCTGTAAGGGATAGTTTAAACATTGCCAATGGCACTGGTTACAGCTGAAGGGGATCTCACTCAGACCCTGGTTAACTCCAGGGGGTAGGAATGGAGGAGAGATGACTGTCCCTTTTCTCTACTCATAGGCTAAGGCCTCACTGCCACCTCATGTCTGGGAAAAAGTGGTTTATGGGAGGGGACCCATTACTCGTGGAATTGAAACTTTCCCTGATTCAGTTCTTCCAGAAATATAGAAGATCTCATGTATTTTTCTCTCTCCTCTAATTCCATATTTTATGTGCTAATTTGTACATTTTGTCTTTATATTTATTCTTGTCAACAGAAGACATTCACTTAGAGTCTGCTAAGTGCCATACAATACACAAAGCACTATGGAAAAATGCAAAACACATAATTAATATGCATGATCCTTTGCAGGAGTTTAGAAAGAAGTAAACCCAGCATTTATTGCAAGGCAGCAAGTGTTATTTTAGATTCTTCAACCCATGACACTGTGAACCACTGAGGTTTAGAGAAATAAATTTCCCAAGATCATACAGGTAGCAAGTGTCTGAGCCGAGATTGTCCTAGGTCTATTTCGTCTTAAAGTACATGCTCTTTCCATTCTATTTCATTCCCTCCCTTGATCGGGAAGGCAGAAGACACAGCAAAAAGGAACGTGAATGCAGACATTAAAGAAAACCTGCAAATGAATAAGTTCTACAAGCTCCACTGACTATTTCGTGTACAAGGGTGGCAAGTGTCTGAAGTACCTGGAGCTGGGCTGGCCTTCATGGAGCAAATTCTAAAGCAGATCAATGATAAAGCCTGGGCAACAGGGCAGTGGACACTAGTCAGAGAACAATTGTGCTGGAACCAAGAGAAATAACACTGGGCAGTTAAACATTCTAACAAGAATAAAAGTTTTAATCCCAGAGCATCATTTGTTCTCCCAGATTCAGATGCCCCCTCTTTGTGGCCCTCAGACTATGGAAATCTTGTGAATTACTAAAATTTTCGCAGATCCATCTTCCAGGCAAATCTAAAAGACAGCAGAGTGCTGCTTCAGTTATTAGAGTACTGCTAAGTTCATTACACTTAACATTCATTAAATATCCCCTCTCACATAGCTCTCTCTTAAGCAAGGTAAGTGGAAATCATTTTCCTCCTGACATTTGGTTCCAGTGACATAAGTGAGTAAGAGGATTTACAGAGGAAAAGTGAATACACTTGGCAATGTTTTCAAACATTTGTTTGGATTTTCTGTTTTTTAGGAGATGTACGACTAAGGGGTCAGACGGGGGTTCCTGCTGAACGCCGCGGCTCCTACCCATTCATTGACTTCCGCCTACTTAACAGTGAGTAATCAAGTGTACCTGGAAAGGAACAAACGTTTTCTTAAAAAAAAAAAAAAAAAAAAAAAAAAAAAAAAAAAATCTCACTTCCCTCTGAACTTCAAAACCCTCAGAGGTCTGCCTTCCTTCCTCCATGTCTCCCCTCCCAAATGGAACTTAACCCTTTGTCTTTAGATTTCCTCCCTAGTGAAGTGATTCTGGCACTGCCCTACCTCCCAGAGCTTTAGTGAGAATCAAATGAGCTCATTTCAGCTTTCAGAATGTAAGTCTTAAAAACCTTGAAGACCTATACAGGGAAACTTATTCCTTTCATCATCCAGCACATTCTTTCCACCTTCATCCAGAACTAGACCAGATGAGATTCTATTTTATTGTTAAAACCCCACAGGGAAACCTACTCACATATGACCCTTAGTAACTATCCATTGTCTAATTCTCCCTTCTTTGTCTCAAGTCTCTGAGATCTGTTCTTGCATTCCTCATAAAGCTCTACACCATGGCTGAGCCCTTGTAGTGTGCACTTGCTGCTTCTTCCATTAGAACTACCTCGGAAAGTCATTTCTTTCTATCTTTCCCCTTCATATATTACTCCTTATTTGGAGTTTTGCTCAACCTCTGGTTCATAATTCTGTTAATTTCAAATTCCTCTGGAAACCCAAACCAGTGACCAGTCACCCTGCCTGATAGCATGCCTTCTATTGCAATCATCCTGCACTTTGGACTTGGGGGTGGGGGTGGTGGGGGGAGAAACTGGATAAATTTCACAGTTTGCTCCAAGGTTTTCAGTGTTTGGTTCTCATACCACTTCCCATCGATAAATTTCAAAGTTCTGGGTTGCACCCACAGAGTATTACTTTCCTTTGGCATAAACAAGTTCAGCAGAAAGGTAATTTGATTTACCTCGACCCCTAAAAATTACTAGGAGAAGTCAAAACTTGCTATCCTTGGATCCTCAAAAGGTCAGTAGTGAATAGAGATGCTTGTATTTCTCCTAGCTTATTAAACTTCCATAGCAATGTGAAATATCCGTTTTCTCAGCTCTTTCTGGGACACAGAGACTTGGAGTAACCTTTCCATACTAGAGATAACCTCCCCAACCCAGCCCCCACAAAAAATGCATTTTCGAAGACACAGTTGATTTGCTAACCCAATGTAATATTGGATACAGACTATGGGGAGCTCAAATGGTATCTCAGCTTTTCTTATGACCCTGATTAGGCTGGTCCACCTACTCATGGAAGTTACCCCTTTTGACAATATCTAGATTGTACTGACTTCCAGTTCCCAGGCATATGGCTCCACCAAGCAAGATGGGGATGAGCAGAGGGTCCAGTTAATTCACTGTTTCAAAGAGATCAGGACTCTCCAATGGCTTAACATACGAAGTGTGAGATGGAGAAAATAACCAAAAAAGTCTCTTTCAATATTAGGTGAGATGTTATGTCATGTTTTCGAATATAAGGCATGAACAAATTAGGAAAAATAGGAGATACTTCTCTTTATAATAATTCCAAGGTTCCAAATGATATAATCTGTTTCTAAATTATCCCAATGTTAATAAGCAACATCAGCTAAGAGCATTTATCTTTGCAAGTGGGATTAAGGAATAATTTCCCTATATACATCATAGGTCCTTGCAACACTTGGATTTGGGTTTTTTTTTTTATAATCTGTTTTACTTTCAGAACGTTAAAAAAAACTGAAAAAAAATGTATAAAAATTTTAAACAGAAAACCAATGCAGATAATATTTCACTACTATATTATCCACTATATAACAAATCACATACAAGCAGGTGCCATCCTGTCATCCCTCTTCTGAAGGTCCTCCAGAAACTTCCTAGTGGCTGGACTGACCCCCAGCCTCCTTCCCCTGGCCTGGGATGCTATCTTCCCTCCACCCCCATTTCACCCCGTATGTTGCTCAGGACCCTCCACACATTAAGTGATAGTGTTGGCCATCCATTCTGAAATTCCCTTTCTTCTCTGCTCAGCACTGCACTCTGGATAACTCCTTCACTCATGTCTCTTTAGCAATAAAACATGCTAAGGCGATATCAACTTACCTTCGTTGTATTTTGCTTTCTAGTGGACTCACTTTTTTTGTCCTAAATGTGTAGAACAGTTCCCTAAACAGACTACAAGATCCTGAATATCTGTCCAGCTAGATCAAAGGATCCCCTCAAAAAGACTGTATTAAATAATTATAAATGTCAGTCAGCCCCTATATTTTTCTCGACAGCTCAGATAGGACTGAAGCCCTCTGAGATTCTTCCTTATTTGTGGTACTGTCTATTCCATTGTCAAATGCCTGGCATACCCAGTTACCGAGTTGAAAATTGAATCAATAACATTACTGCAGTCATTCTCCACAATTTCCTACTTCAGTCGGCAATTAAAGTAACTTGTCACCTGGTAGAACCAGGTATGTTCTATCTGTGTTATGTACAGTCACGTAAGATTAATACACATGTCATACCTCCTACTACTTTATATAGAGCCTGTTTAGTTCTCTTTAATGTCATTCATGTTCCTGTTGGGGTTTGCCTGCCTGAGTTGTTAGTGTGTGCTTTCTGCCTAGAGGGAAACATTTTAAATATACTTCTATAAAAATTTAAAAATAAACCCCAAAGATACATTTTGGGACCTTTTGCTAAAACTCTTATTTTTACCAACTGATTCCAATTCTACACAGTAAGTACAAGACTAGTTTAAAGTGATTTTTTTTTGTATCATTTACCTTAATTTTGAGTCATTTTTTTTCCAAGTACAGGCAGAGACCAAAGATTATTTTCTTCAGGTGCTTGCAGTTTTGCTCTCTCTCCCAAGGTAGAACCTACTCTTGGACTTGCTTAAAAAGACAATTTATAGGAAAAACCAAAGCACCGTACCCTCTATACCCTGTGTCTCATCCCTACAGCCTTTCTTCTAAAATGCTTAGTGAAACCCACATGGCTGCCACCCCCTGTCCAGAGTGTCCCTGGGGGGTTACCTTCTACCACTGTCTTCAACATATGTCTTGAATGGCTGGAACATGTGTAACAAAAATATACATTACTAGTAAGGCCCATTGCACTTCTCCGCTGGCCCCATCAGGCACAGCCCCAACCTGCCATAGCAGAACAGAAAACATCAGAATTAATATCTAAAATAACTTTCCTGGGGGCACCCCGGTGGCTCAGTTGGTTAAGCATCCACTCTTGATTTCAGCTCAGGTCATGATCTCATAGGATTGAGCCCGGTTCATGGGATCAAGCCTGGTGTGGGGCTCTGGGCTAACAGCACAAAGCCTGCTTGGGACTCTCTCTCTCCCTCTCTCTGCCCCTCCCCAGCTCAAGCTCACTTTCTCTCTCTCTCTCTCTCTCTCTCTCTCTCAAAATAAATAAATAAACTTAAAAAAATAAAATAGCATAACATAAATAAAATAACTTTCCTTTTTTCAGGATAAAGTTTACAGATATTAAAACAGTTAACCAGAATGAGACTGGGCCAATGACAACCAATGCAGTAAACCTGTGCTCCCGTCCATGCCTATTTTGTGACAGATAGATATAGAGATAGAGATAGATAGATAGATAGATAGATAGATATGATGTTTATTTATTTTTGAGAGAGAGAGAGAGAGCACAAGTGGGAGAGGGGTAGAGAGAGAGGGAAGCAGTCTCCAGGCTCTCAGCTGTCAGCACAGAGACCGACACAGGGCTCCAACTTATGGACCTCAAGATCATGACCTGAGCCAAAGTTAGATGCTTAACCGACTGGGCCACCCATAAGCCCCCATGCCTGTTTTGTAAATAAGATTTTATTGGAACATAGCCATGCTCATTCATTTATATATCATTGACAGCTACTTTTATCCACAGAGACCATATGGCCCACAAAGCCAAAAATATTTACTATATGGCCCTTTACAGAAAAAATTTACTAACTCTTAAATTAGATTTTTAAACAAAATTGAAAGGGTTTATGACATCTCCATAGGTGCATTCAGCCTGGTCTGTTTTCCTTTGTTCATGTCATTTTTTTCTTTTCAATCCCCAGTGCCATCAGTTTACTTTCAAGGATGGATTCACATTGGCTTAATTTACATGCGACAGAAATATAAACAGAGAACTTTCTTGCTGGTTCAGCGTTTAAATTCCACAATTATAATTTCTATCTGCACAAACATTCTTCTGTAAGAGGTGCCCCTTTCCCATATTTTTTGAAGACATGGGACTACCACATCTATGAACTTGTCTACATTCTACATTCTACATATAAGATGACAATATACACCTAGTTTGCCTGGCATAGTCAAATTTGTACCTGTTTTCCAGGCATACTTATTAATAATGCCATTTCCCACTCCCTAAGTATTCTGGTTTAGACGACAAATTACAAAGTCAATGGATTTTATAGTTTTTCTACAAAAAAAAAAAAAAGTTACTTCAAGACAACACCTGTTAAATGTCACTTTCAATCCAGGAATAAAGATCAGAAAATCGTCCTCATAAGAGATACAGGCAGATCCATGCATGTCTTGATTGAGAATAGGTAAGATAAAGTTACCTGTTGACAGACAGTATTATTTACTATTTATATTTTATACAATTTAGAAAACAGGCATTTATATGAACTTTGAGAAGTTTCTCTGGATAAGTAGCAGAAAAACGTGGCTTCATTGCATAGGCCACAGGAGTCATAGACCTTTAAAGAAGATTATCTTTACACCTAAGCATGGGAGGTGGGGGTGGGCAGAAGAGAGTGAGAGGAAAGGGTGACGATTATTTTTATTCTACCTGAGATACTAAAACAGAGACCTGAAAGAGGGCCGGAAGAATGGGAAAGCCATGGCTTGATTATCCCAATGCCAATTTCCTATAGATTTATGTCATTTACTAACTCTGTGTGGAGGGAAACAAGAGAAGAGAAAATGGAGAGAGGAGTGTTCAGAGAAACGTGTGGCCTCAGAGGCGAATGTCGCAGAAGCAATCACAATTTTCTGCAGAACAGGTGGTTACA